ATCTCTTCCCAAAGCACTTAAAATCTCCCCCTTCAATTGTCCTTTTAGGAAGCAACCATCCAAACCAATCACCCTCCTACACCCTTCCAAAACCCCCTTCTTGACAGCTCCAAAACACACATATATACGTTGGAAAACCATTGGAGCATCAGGGACAACTCTGTCAGTTTTAATCACAACTGTACTACCAGGAATTGATCTCAACAGTTCGTCTGCGTAATTTCTGATTTTCCTAAACTGGTCCTTGAAAGCAGTTTGGGTTTTGTCTTGCATAATTTTTAATGCTCTTGTAGCCATACTGATGGTGACATTCAATTTATGCTCAGCCTTAAGCAAGTTTTTGATCTCTATAGCAGGCATGGAAGGGTTTTCTGCCAACTTATTCTCATAGGTTTCAGCTATCCAATGCTGACTAACAATTCTAAGCTTGAATTTCAGGTTACATAAGTGCTCTGAGTTCCAAACTTTCAATTGAAAGCATTTTAAGTGGTTTTCCCACGAAGCAGTACTTTTAAAGGGGCAATTCATGGCACACTTTAGTCTGACTCGCAAAGGCTCATTCTTAACAAACACTATTGTTGGATAATTGATACCCATATTGTATAAACAGGAGAAATTGAACAAGAATCAAAAGGAGTAATGGAGAAGAAGAAGAAAATGTGTATAGAATGAATATTTGTTATATGAGTTACAAGCCTCCTATAAGGAGTATATATAGGGAAAATCCGGGTTTGGGCCTCTAATATGGGCCTGACAGACCCGGTTACATAAATGGACTGATAGTATAAAAAGCTAATCTAGAACATCTGAATAATAATAATAATAATGTACAATAATATTAATGATATCCGCTAAACGTGTGTGGGCTGTTGTCCAGGCCTAGTAGTCGGCATACCGGGGGGTCGGAGTCCATATAATCCATCAGGAGTCCCCCACTCCCTGAGTCGAGAGTACTCGAGGCGAAAGGGAGTAGTCCAAACCGTATCTGCAACGTTCTTCCTCTTCGGACGGGGGACCACCACCCTTGTCCATTATGGGGAGGTGCCTCGTTAAAAACCTTTACTAGGAAAAACCCTGTGGGAAAAAATCCTAATAAAGGGAAAAAGAGTACACCTAGCGCCCCCAACATGAAACAAGGAAGGTAAATCCCCTCCGGCATAATCAATCTAGCTCAGCTCCTTTTCAACTGACTCAGCTCTCGTTCCTGCTCTTGCGTGATATTTTCTGCTCATCTAGAAACTCTGACCCCTCAGTCCCCCAGTCCCCACTCTTTGAGGCGAGTGGAGACGAGGTGAAAATGAGTAAAGTCATCTTCGTACCTACACATTTATCATACATATAAAAAAATTCTCTTGGGATTGATGTTCCCGGTCGGGAGTTCGTCACTTGAAACAAGTGGAGATGTGAATTGTCAATGTAATGATAAAATATTTAGTAGAATGGATGTGTGAGCCATTCGTAAGCAACGGTCGCCACTCGAGGAATGACTAAGACCGGTCTTCGTACCCGACTTGGTCGGGGTTTTGTCTTCATGCCTGACTTGGTCGGGGCTTTGTGCCTGAGGAGACAGGGCTTTAAATCCTAGTGATGGGTCTCAAGCCACACTCTACTAGGCATTTGATCATAAGTGCGTGATAGTGTGACATTTACCCGACAAAATAAATCATTTAAATAAATATAAATAATAAGATAACTAAAGAGTACTTATCTTTTTTGTAGTGGGCTGAATTTGAAGTGTTGTTAAAATTGTGGCCCATCCTCAGCTTTGGAGTGTAGCCTTGGCCCGCTGCTCAAAGCTTGGCCGAAAACTCCCCAGCACGTTTAAAAGTTGACTTGGTCAACTGAAGCATATACACTGCACCCTTCTGGCTTCTGCGAACGACACAGACAAGCCAGGGTGGAGGTATCTTGGCAAGTGGCAACTGCTACCGACAGAAAGGAGAGGTGGTGCTATCCACTGATTTTGCTGGCGTTGATGAAATCCAAAGAGCTGGGGATGCGCTCTGCCTTTGCTGCCGCCGGAGGAGTGAAGTGCGAAGGTCAATCCTCTGGCCATTTCCGCTGTCACGCACTGCTGTTCTTCACACATGGACGTTGCTGGCTCACGACCGTGGTGGGAGAAGAAGCGATGCCAGGGGACGGTGGAGACGCGGTGACTGGAGGGGTCTGAGCAGGAGTAGCTGCGGTAGGAGGCGTCGCAGACGAGGACGGCGGAGTGGCGGTCGGAGATGCAACTGGAGTCGAAGCTTTCTTCGGCGCAGGCGAGGCGGATTTCGTCGGAGAGGCTGCCGGAGCTCCAAACAGACGTAAGCTCTCGGAGAACAATCTAGCTCTGGCGTTGTTGATCGGAGAACAGAAGGGGTTCTTCATGGCTTGCTGTCACCGAGTAGAAGGGGGCTCGTCGGAACTCCTACTTCGTGCGACACCGCTGTCCGCATCAAGATCTGGGGCGGGAGCCTTGTGCAGGGAGCTTGTTGCGGCCATTAATGGCAGAAACCTTGCACTAGCTCACCCGATTTGAGGGGGTCTGCAACCAATGACCTATTTTCAGATCTCGACGCCGTGGTGGTGGAGCGACCGTAAGACAGGCGAGTGACGCCATGACGGAGGTAGAGAAAAGTACACGGGGTCGTTCATCTCTCCCAGGAGCTCTCAGGCGGCCATTAATGGTGGACCACCTTGGGAGAATCAGATCCAGAGCAGCGGCGTGACCTGGAGCGGTGTCGACGAGATCTGGACGGCGGCCTCCAGTTTTAGTTCCCAGACCAGGTGCAGCGGTGGGCAAGGGCTTGGACGATGACCAATCTCCGGTCAGATCTGGGACCTCTTCGGTCAGGTGCGGCGGTAGGCCAGATCAGGACGATGACTCTTCTTCTTTTTTTTTTTTTTGTAATTTCCAGAACAGTTTTTGGCTGTTTTTTTTTTTGTGATTGGAATGATTTTTGGTTATTTGGGGAGGTTTTCTCACTTGATTGTGTTCAACCTCTCAACGAGAGCACCATTGTTGGATAATTGATACCCATATTGTATAAACAGGAGAAATTGAACAAGAATCAAAAGGAGTAATGGAGAAGAAGAAGAAAATGTGTATAGAATGAATATTTGTTATATGAGTTACAAGCCTCCTATAAGGAGTATATATAGGGAAAATCCGGGTTTGGGCCTCTAATATGGGCCTGACAGACCCGGTTACATAAATGGACTGATAGTATAAAAAGCTAATCTAGAACATCTGAATAATAATAATAATGTACAATAATATTAATGATATCCGCTAAACGTGTGTGGGCTGTTGTCCAGGCCTAGTAGTCGGCATACCGGGGGGTCGGAGTTCATATAATCCATCAACTATATCTCTCTTATGATACACGACATATTTGACCATGGCACTTTTGAATTGCTTACCATCCTCAAACAACATACCAACCTTAAAATGGGGAGGATCGGATTCTGGGTTATACGAACCATTCCCATTAGGTGGCCTTTTGGACTTAGGTTCATCTTCTTCCTCTGAATGCAAGCTAGGTGGGTTAGATGAGTCATATTCAGCAGTATCTGGCTCACTTTCACTTTCAAGACCATGCTCAGGACTTTGTATATGTTCTGTTTCAGGAACATTATCTGGTTTTCTTGGGGAATGATTGTTTGAACCAACTTCCACATCATGTAGCACATAATCTTCTGCATCCTCATGTTCAGCTTCAGAGCTACCCCTATGTTGTACTTCGTCAACATCAGTATCATCATTGACTACATCCTCATCAGCTTTTGAATCATGGTCATCACTGTCATCCTGTCTTGTAGCATTGGGTTCATGATTATCTCCTTGATGGTGTTCTGCAGCCTGTGCATGCTCTACATAGATCTAACACTCCCACAACTTGTAGCTAATTGTATTAGGTGCAGTGCAGTCTCATCATCAACCAATTCATGCAAGGACTCCATTTTGGCACTTGGTGTTTTGAAGAAAATACCTGTGATGGAGCCATTACTTTGCCCTTCTAAGAACTTCTTCAAGTGGGGATAGCTAATCACATCAGGATCTGCAAGTACTGTCTGAACTACTCCTCCAACATACTTCTTCTTAGCAGCACAACTGAAATCCCCCCCATGATGTACTAGTAGTTCAATTGTCTCAAACATCCTACACATATAACAATAATGAATCAGTTTGTTGACAACCACAGAAAACATAGCACCTCAATGAATCACTCATATGTAACACATTACACTCTTTCAACCTCACCATAACAGTCATGTAAGTATAAACACACTCCTTGTAAGACATAAAAGATCATCTTAACATGAGAATGGGTAATCGTTACACCAAAACTGGGTCATCCTTACATAAAAGATCATTGTAAGACGATGTATCAACATAACATGGGTCATCATTACAAAAACAAACATGCCAAAAAAAGACATTTATTTGAAAGGATTGAATGTACTAAAAATGAGCATGTTTATAAACAATTTCAACTGCAGACCCAATAAAATAGCAAGACATCGTTTCAACTGCTAAAATCACAACATGAACGACCAAAAGCAGTTTAAATTACACAATATAAAAGGTAAGCACATAAAAGAGAAAAACATCATGAACGACCAAGAGGACTATATATTTCAGGTACTAGAAGAACATACCTTACAGCCTTCGAATTCTGGCGTTCCAACTACGTACATTACAGACCTTCGTAGGACTAGGGTTGAACTCCCGCCTCTAAGTAACTCGTCTTGTGTTCGTTAATTTTCTAAAAACGAGGAAGGTTAGGATATTAGGGATTTGGGGGAAACCGGGTGGGATTTAGGTAATGTTAGGATATAGCCAGGTCATTTACGATGTCGGGTAGTGGAGGGCCGCGTAGGCAGCCATGTCAGCCACTTACAGGCTAACCGGCTCTCACCCGGTTAAAAGGCTTAATTGGTTTTTTTTTTGGGTAGTTCAGGTACTCCATTGGGTGATTACAAGGTACGAGGGCTTAATTGAGGAATTGTTGAGAGTACTAGGACTCATTTGAGAGTTTTCTCTATTAAAAAATATACGAGCCCGGTAGAAGGACTTCAACAGTCAAGACTCCAAGCCTCGTCGAACAGCAACCCACCAGAGTCGGCAAGTGGACGACCGGCAGTAGCACTTCCGTTCAGGCGGCGAGTTAGCATCACAGAGGACCCAAATTCCCAGGTTTCAACTCCCATTCTTAATTTTGTTTATCTCCAGAAGATTTCAGTCCAGTTGATTTCAGTGTTTGACAATTTATTGAGCTATATGATTTTCCAGTGTTTGACAATTTATTGTTAAACCAAAAAACAACCAAGCTATAATTACACAAGATTAGCATCTCTGTGATAAAGTTTAAAATGACTGAATTTTGCAAGCTATGATTGAAACGACTTAATTAATGGAATAATGAAAATTTTCATTTTTTTACATATACTTTACAGACGCAACATAAAAAAATATAAAACAGATTGAAATAACCAAGTTTGGTCAAAAGATGCAAGTACAATCTTAACTTTTTAAAAATTAAAAAGATAAATATTAAAATCAGGAAAAAGTGAATGTTTTCATTTATTGGCAGTATTCAAATGAAAAGGGATTAAAATGACTGTTTTTTTATAAATCATTTTGAATCATATATCAAATACCTTCTGTAAATATAACATATTTATTTGATACTTGTATTTGATAAGGGAAAATACTGAACAAATTTAAAAAATGTGGGGGTAAACAATTGAGATATTATCTGAAATTGGAGTAAAATATATTACTAATGGATAGGTTTTCTAAAAAAACTCCCAGTGATGTAATTTCCATATCAAAACATTGATATGTTTAAGATTACTGGTACCAAACTTGTATTCACCAAAGTTTAAAGATTACTGAACATTGATTGTTGTTGCCTCAAATGAGGAAATAAAAAGCAGTGAAATCCATCACCACCAAAGTTATTGAAATGCTAGTTTTCAAATAAAACAGATTAACAATAATGGTAGCAGCCTTATCCCATAGCATACTTCTGTGTCCAGCTACTAGCAGTTGATGTTTGGATGGTAGCAGCCTTATCCCATAACATGTTTGGATCCGTGAGCAGAGAGCAGATAGAAAACAGAACCTTGGATATGGTTAAAGCTGGGATCCACTGCTCTTTAAGAGTATCAAAAGAGATATGTTCTTTAAAGATGTCAGCTTTAACCATATCCACTGCTCATTATTTTGCGAATAAGGAGAAACTGGAAGGTGTCCAAGTTCATAATCTACTTTAAAGATGTCTGTTATAAGTCAAAGCCCTAACGTGCACACTCTTCGAAAATTTACCTCCAGGCAGTCAATGTTGAAGCATGCTAACGGTCTTGCTCTTGCCAATTTGATCATCACCTTGTCTTCATCAACCCCCACAAAAATTGGCACTCCCTCAGTGCGATTATTGGCTACTTCATACACAGAGATATCATCTCCCACCACACATTCTTCAGAAGTGTCAGATTTCCGATCTGAAGTGCAACTTGATCCTGAATCAGTCGGTGTTGTCCAGGACAAGGACCTTCTCAGAAAGACTCCTGATGGAGAGATTCTATTGCTTAAACTCCTCAACAGGGGTGCAATGGAAGCAGATGCCAGTCTATATCACAAACTCTTCAAAATCTGTGCAGATCACAAAAGACTGAAAGAAGGCAGACTCGTTCACAACCATTTCCTTCGTTCCAGGTTCAACCATGATGTTGTGCCTTACAATACGTTAATTAGCATGTATTCTAAGTGCCAGAGTATAGAGGAGGCTCAAAAGGTGTTTCATGAAATGCCCAAAAGAGATATGGTGTCTTGGGCTACACTGATCACTGGATATTCGCAAAATGAGAGATATGTTCAGGCATTGACTACTTTTCGTGAGATGCTAAGGGCTGGATTCAATCCTAACCAATTCACTTTTGGGAGCATTCTCAAGTCGGCTGGTTCTGACACCACTGATATTGTGATGGGCAGACAAATACATGATTTTTGTTTGAAACAGGGGTTTGAGGAGAGTGTTTATGTCGGAAGCGCTCTTATAGATATGTACGCCAGTTGTGGAGAGTTGGATGAAGCCATGTTAGTCTTTCAGGCCATGCGGGTCAAGAATGAGGTTTCTTGGAATGCTTTGATTTCAGGGCATGCTAGGAAAGGGGAGGGAGAAAATGCTTTGAATCTTTTCTTGGATATGAAAAGATCCAGATTTGTCCCAACCCATTATACATTTTCAAGCCTTTTCACTGCTTGTGCTTGTACTGGATCTTTGGAGCAGGGAAAGTGGCTCCACGGGCATATGATCAAGTCAGGCTTGCAACTCGTAGGTTTTCTCGCCAACACTCTACTCAATATGTACGCCAAGTCAGGTAGCATTGAAGATTCCAAAAGAGTTTTCAATCGAATGGTGAAAAGAAATATAGTTTCATGGAACTCAATGCTTACCGCATCTGCCCAACATGGACTGGGGAATGAGACTATAGCACTCTTTGAGGAAATGCTTATGGCTGGTTATGAACCAAACGGGGTGACCTTCCTCTCTGTCCTCACCGCTTGTAGCAGGTCTGGCCTTTTAGACAAAGGAATGCATTATTTTGAATTAATGAATAAATTAAAGGCTGAACGTGAAATTTCACATTTCGTGACGATTGTTGACCTACTTGGCCGATCGGGTCAACTCGACCATGCCCGAAGGTTCATAAATGATATGCCTGTTGAACCCACAGCCGAAATCTGGAAAGCGTTGTTAGGAGCATGTAGAAAGCACAAGAACATGGAGTTGGGCATCTTTGCTGCAGAGCGGGTCTTTGAACTCGATCCATACGACTCTGGGCCCCACGTCTTGCTGTCCAATATCTATGCTTCAGCTGGAAGGTTGAGTGATGCAGCAAAAGTGAGAAAGGCGATGAATGAGACTGGAGTAAAGAAAGAACCTGCCTGCAGTTGGTTGGAGATTGAGAATTCTGTTCATGTGTTTGTGGCAAATGACGAGTTCCATCCATATAGGAAGGAGATGAGAAAAAAGTGGAATGAGATATATGAGGAGATTAAGAAAATCGGGTACGTGCCCGATACGAGCAATGCCCTTTGGTTTGTGGATCAAAGGGAAAGAGAAGAAAGGTTGCAAGATCACAGCGAGAAACTGGCTTTAGCTTTTGGGATTCTAAACACTCCGCCCGGTTCAACAATACGGATAAAGAAGAACATTAGGGTTTGTAGTGATTGCCATACTGCGTTTAAGTTCGTTTCAGTGGTGGTTGATAGAGAAATCATTTTGAGAGACACCAACCGATTCCATCACTTTTGCAATGGTGCTTGTTCATGCAGTGACTACTGGTAACATCATAAAGTTATTGCTTTTATGGAACAATGTTTAAATTCGTTTCTGTGGTGCTTAGCAGAGAAATCATCTCCAGATACAATAGTTTTCTTCCAGCAGTGTTGGTTGTCATTTATTATGCAAGTGGGCTTCATAGGCAAGCAGATCTTTTCTTATACTGAAAATGTTCTCGATTTGTTAGTTGCGACTACAAGTGTTTTCTTACTTGGTTGGCCATGGAAATGTCATTATTGGACCTTTGCTTGATAGCTAGCTCACTTTTAAGTCTCAATATCGAGAAGATATTGCCATCATTGAACCTTTACTTGATAGATGCTCCTGGTTAGTTCCATTGCAAAGAGATGAAAAGGACTTCATATTTTGAGGCTAGATTACCATATCCTGACGTGAGAGAATACAATAAATTTGGAGGTAATTTTTATGGGTTATATCTTCTGCTACCGTGTTAAAATAATAAAAACTAGTTAATCCACTCGTGCGTTGCACAAATAATGGATGGTATTAATTTATTTTTGAAAACAATTCATTTCATGAATAATGTGCATATACATACTTGTTGTATAAAAATTAAAATATGAAATAGCAATATATTAATGTACATGTATGATAATTGTTAGAGACATACTACAACAACGGCAACATCCTTACCTTAGTCCCAAAAGAGTTTGAGGTTTGCTAACATGAATTGACTCATGAAATCAGAGCTAAAAAGATAAGAAAGATAAGAAAGATAACAAGATAAGGTAAGATAAAAAAGATAAGTTAAAGATAGAAATGTTAAGATAAAATCATAAAAAGGATAAAAAAAAAATATAAGATAAAAATGATAAAAAATAAAGAACATAAGAAAAATAAAGAAGATAAAAGGAAAACAAATTGGAAAAGAGATAGATCCCTCATACAAATATTCTCCCTCCACTTTGCGCTCTCCAGAGTCATACTCTCATCCAATCCAAGAAGCATATCACTCTTGACTCTTTTAATTATGTTTGTTTGGGTCTTCATCTCCCTCTCCTTCTCTCCTCTTCTCCACTCCTCTCAACTCGTCTAACAAGTGCACCATTAGATCTTCTACGCACATGACCAAACACCGCAATCAAGACTGTCACGCCCCGGACCTACCAGACACGTCAACAACCCGCCGTACAGTACGAATAGTCAACCGCAGTTCACATTCACACTATACGAGGCGTCTGGAATATCATTCACACGTAGTACATCCCTTGGTTTAAAAAAGCGCGCCTCAAAGGCGCTAGGCGCCCTAAGGCGATGGGTTCATCGCATCTTAACCTCCTAGGCGTAGCAGATTCCAAGAGGCGCGCCTTCTTTCATGCCTTTTGCCGCTTTTTGCGCGTCTGAGAGGCGTCTGCCTCTCACGCCTCTTGGAAGTGTCTGATAGTATTTCTTCAAAACCTTGGCGATTAACGTTTGAAGCCTTTTAGCGATTCAGTCATTCAGATATTATTTCCAGAATATCGTAGGTCTTATATATCGTTAAGTTAAAGTTCATCAAACTCTATGTCTATCTATTATCTTCTGCCTTCTGCGTTTGCTTCTCTTCTTCTGCCTTCTATCTTCCGCTTCTCTCTCGCGTCCCAGGTATGCTTTTATATTTTTTTGTTCTCTTCTCCTCTTAATTCTCTTTTATCTTAATTTTTTAAATTTATAAAATAATAAAAATTATTAAAATATATAAAACTATAACAATCTGCCCTAAACCCTAATCCCAATCAGAATGTTTATCAATTTAAACTAATAATAAAGATGGTTTGTCCTATCAGATATGTTATCAATTTACCTGTTTATAAGACAGCTTGTTATATTATTAATATTTTTATGTAAAAGTTCATTTATATTATTAATATTATTACTATTTTTCTATTAATACGAGTATATACTTCTTGCTATTTTGTCTGAATAAATATTATATTTTTTTCTCTTAAGGTGTTTATTAAGATTGTTTAATAATTTGAAGTATTTTTTGATTTATCACTTTTTGGGAAGAGTTCTTCATGCAGAAGTAGTATAATTATATTTTTCCAAAGCTATAAGGTTAAGGTCCGTGAGGCGAGCACATCATCGCCTAGCGCCTCGCGCCTCGGGTAAGTCATTGAAATCGCCTCAAGCCGCCTCGTGCCTTTTAAAACTAAGGTACATCCATAAACCAACATAATATAAAATCATTCATCAATGCAGCAGAAACGATATTACAAGTGTTTAAGCCACCCTTGGCAAATTAGGCATGCAAGCCCTCAAATAATTATTCAGACAAACAATAATATCCATGATCATTAAATGTAATTGTTTAAAACAGAAACGGAGGAAGCACGAACCACGTCTTCTCTCCCTTGATCTCTACGAATCAACGGCAAGGGTAGCAACCTTCAAGTTCTACCTGAAACTGTGAGGTGGCCTCCCCCGTGAAGGGGAGGTCAGTACTTTGAAGCATTTGAAAAGTACAATAACAACTATACTAAGTATAATCAATGTTTCAACTTCTAAGACCCTTAATTTAGGGTGTTATTATGTTATAGTTAACCTCGTTCATTTAATGTCAATTCACCGTGCTAAAGTCCTGCTCCTAGTCACGCTACTCTTATACTAGAGCCATGCTCCTAATTATGTTATGTTGTACTAAAGCTTTAACTTCTAGTCACTTTTACACCGGTCTAGAGCCCTGCTCATAATCACCGTTATCTACATCGGTCTAGAGCTCAGCTCATAATCACCGTTATCTACTACGATCTAGAGCCCAACTCATAATCACCGTTATCTATTACGGTCTAGAGCCCAGCTCATAATCACCGTTATCTACTACGGTCTAGAGCCCAGCTCATAATCACCGTTATCTACATCGGTCTAGAGCCCAACTCATAATCACTGATTCTTTACAATTTACCCTCTTATGACTAGTTCCATCAATTATTCAATTAATAATTTCAATTAGTATTTCAATACTAGTCATTTGTTCATTTCAATTTACTTTCCCATCCATGTGTAATTTGGCCTTAATATCAAAATATCACTTTTATACTTTCATGACTTCTTCTCATGAAATAAAAGTATATTTATCACAAATAAATTTCATGGTTAATACAACCATCATACCATCATATTCATAACACATAAACATACACAATTTATTCATAAATTTGTATATTATGCATGCTATACTTATAATCAATAGTAATTTCATTTAAGCATTATTAACCATTAATAATCCATGCAAATCACATTTTTATTCAATTAGGAAATCTTATGAAATTAACCCAATAATTATAAGCAATATAGTCGGTCATCCTCACCTCGAATTAGCGCTATGAAGTTCTACTCTTTTGGTTGAACCCCGGTGAAACTCCGGCGACTTTTGATGAACTCCGGCGACAACTTCGGCGAATCTTTCAACACCGTGAAAGCTCTTGAAATACCTTATACAAGTTCCTAATCAAGGTTTTATAATCATAAAACCCATATTAATACAAATAACCTCAAAAAGGTTATTTTCCGGCGAACCGGTCATTTTGGCCTCTAAGTCCGTTCTTGGACATATAACACTTTCCAACCCATTAATCCACACTCATATCATGTAGAAAACCCCTAAGGGTTCTTCATATGATATATATCTCATATGATAGAAGAAAAAATAAAGGAAAAGTTATGATAAGGTCATTACCTTAATTTCCACACTTTCTCCTAGCTTTTTCCTTCTTTAATCTTCCTCCTTGGAACACCTTAGGTTGAGCTCGAATTTGGGATATGGAAGATGAGTTTGCAGAGGTCATCTTACTCTCTTGGTGTGCTTTGGTCGAGCTAATGAGTGAGGGGGAGTTGGAGTTGGCTCTTTTGTCTTGTTTGGACAATGAGTGAGGTCACCCCTTTGTGTCCCAAAATGTACATTTCGGCCCCGAAAGTTGTATTTTTCGGACTGTTTTAAATACATTTTATTTTATCGGGTCAAATAGAATATATTACATGCCCTTCATCATTATGGTCCTTATAATGAATATACATTCCCCAACTTTAATTTTGAAGTCTCCAAAATTTATTTTTGGACTGTTATTTGTTAAATTACAAATACTGGCAATTGGGCCACAATTGACCTATCGGTCAACTCTGGGCCTTTCCATGGCCCAAATGAAATATCCACCACCATATAAATATTATCCAGACCAAGATGAATAAAATATACGGTCTCGGGATTACCGGGCGGTCCCCGCCCAGTGTGGGCCCCACATGCAAATTTACTATTCACGCGAAAGAATTAATAAAAATTCACAAGTTCGTAAATTCTTTAACTATTCCATAAGGTTCAATACATTATTCACTTAAGAGTAAATATATTTGGGGACGGTGTTACAGAGACCCCGGCATGTTATTTTCATAATGAAATGAAAAGAATCCAGCAAGGTCCAATAATTTATCCAAAACTCTAAAACTTAAAAAACAAGCAAGAAGGCTGACACCTACAGAGAATCAGAGACAGGGCTGAGGATAACAGTAGTAAGACCAGATACAAAGTGAGCTGATTTACTCCTTAACGATGATTCTTCTGCTGCTCTTGAGAAGGCGGATGCTTTTCTTCTCGTCCTCCCACTTTACTGCCCATTTTCATGCTTTGAATTTGTTTCCAGGTCAGTAGTTACCCAAATTACTGTTAATCTCTTTGTGATTGGATTTAGTCGATTGCCATGCTTCAACACACAATTTGACCTCCAGAATATGCCCACCTTTTAACTCTTTTCCTTATTGTTTGCTGGATTTAACTGGATTTCACTTCGGAGGTTTACTTTCTTCCTCTTTTGTAAACTATGCTAAGTATCAGACTTTCAGGAGGAAAGCTACGGACATGGGATTCTCATTTGGTCATGTATTAAGACAGGATAACGGGCGGGCCAGCTCACTGCTTAGCGGGCCAGTATCTCGAGTCGGACCAAATAATATTATTTGATCGGGTTTCTCTCTTGCCCAATGATGTTAGGAGGAGCTATTATGAGGATTTATTTGGTTTTCCTAATCTCCGTTTTTAATTTGTTTATTTTTTTTTGGGTCTGGTCTAGCCCCCCCCCCCCCAAAAAAAAAATCGTTTACTTTTTCTTCATGTTTTTCTCTGCTGAGAGATTTTGGTCTGGTCCCCCTCTATTTTGTACCGATCTCTTATTTAATAAAATAATGGCAAATGTCCCCCGGCATTTGCCCCACTGATTTTGGTGGTTGACTTTTCGGGGTATAAAAAAAGCTGGATTTAACTTGAAAGGACCTTGTTTGGTGAATAGCCAAAGTCAATGGAATTACAGTTGAAGTGGGATAAACTCTCTCTCAGGGAAGCATGTAAAAGTTGGTAAAATATGGAATGATATAGAATAGAAGTGATTGAAGTGTAAAAGTGAAAGTCATAGTCTCCCTTGAATAAGTGATTTTTAATGTAATGCTTTATAGAAGTATAAAAATGCCCTTGTATAAAATGCCCTTGTATAAATTATATAATACATATATCTAAAATTTATATAAAAAATTATAAGCACAAATGAGAGTAAAGTTATTTTGGGCATAAAAAATGTGTTGTGTACATTAAAGCATTTGGTATTGCTGTACAACAAGTTTCAGTGATTGTACCTCATAGCATTATCTTTCTCCCGTCATTGCCATCGATGTACCGGCCCGTCATTGTCATCTACATTTCCGTGAAGTTAAAGCCTCAATAATTTTCTTTCTCTGCCTCTGACGTTTCATTGCCCCATAATTTTTTACATTCAATACGGAAAATGATATGATTTAATTTCTAACTTTTTTTATTCTTACTTCATGAGTGCCTTATCTTTCTGCATTGCAGATCTTCTGAGAAATCTGTATAGAAATGGCTATGGAACAATGCTCTCCCAATAATCGTTTTGAGGCTTCAGAAACCTAATCAGAGGCAATAAACTGAGTTCTTGTGTGATGATGAAAGCATGGCCCCCCTCCCACCTGGCTGAAGATGCTTCCATGGATTATCCTTCCTTCTCATAAACTTGAAGCTCGTGCTGACCCAAATCATTAAATCCAAGTAAGACTCGTTCGATTACCCAACCGCTATGATAAAACAATTGGATTGTTTCATCACAATAAAATAGGTGATATTGAATCTCAAGATTTGCTTTGATGGTTGGAATGGAAGGAATGGTTGAAGGTTTCTAAATAGCTAGCTGAATGACGCTAGTCTGTTCTACTATTTTATTCCATCCAATCTTTTGGCTACTTTTTCATTTTTTCGATTCTTTTAAGTTGTGTTAAGATTATGCTAGAATTGATTTCTAATATTTTACTTCTAGAATTGAAATCTAGTATTTAATTCATTTTATGGAATTAAAACACCTAGCTATTGAAAATCATCACAAGCTACAACAACAACAACAATATTACCCGTGTCGCAAAGGCTCCCACCTATAGTAGGGTAAGGGTTGTCAGATGTATGCGGTCTTATCCCTGTACTCAAGCACATAGAGGCTGTTTCCCGATGACCCATGATGAATATCGCGTCGAAAATTGGATGAACCGACTGCTGCTTCAAGTGATCCATTTTGCTTTATTCTATCATATTTCCAAGCCAAAAAATGTGAGTCTTTGGCTCCATTCGAATTGATGGAAATCATCAAAAGCTACAGAATTAGATTTTTAATTTTTATGGTCAAACATATAGGGAAAGAAAATAATCTTAGTTAGCATTTAGCAACGGATAGGCCTGTCAATGGGTCGGGTCTAGACCCGGACCCGATCCAAATCCGGCATTTTATTTGAGGGTACGAGTCTGAAACTTTAGTAAAACTTTAGTGTGTCTCCTTGGCCGAACAACGGAGGAGGTACGTAGAAGCCGAATGAGTTGGGGTGGGGCAATTGCGCGGCGGAGGCAAGCCAGATCTTAGGGCAAAAGGGACGACCGGCGGTGGGGACAAGGTAATGAGGTACAGGGCGGCACGCGATGAAGATGTTCTAGATCTCTCCTCTCCTCTTTTCTTTGTTTCCGTCACAGCTCTTTTCCTCTGCGTTTCTTCCGTCTTGTTTTTTTCTTTGGTGGTCGGTGTTTTGTTATTTTGGTCCCCCAACTTTTTGGTTTTCTTTCTGATTGCTTTTTGGTGGGGTTTAATGCATGAAACCTGTGATTTAAAATATGTGTCAAACCCTTCCGTGTTATAATTAATCATGCGTCAAACTCCCTCTAAGAACAAATTTCATTTCCAAAAAATGAAAAATGATTAGTCTTTTTGTATGTTTTAGAAATTTTGACAAAGTTACTTGCATATTCAACCATATTTCTACAAAAAAAATGATTTCAAAATTGTAAAATTTGTTCTTGGAGGGGTTTTTGCGTATGATTAATTATAACACAGGGGGTTTTGACGCATTTTTTAAATCACAAGGGACTAATGCGTCAAATTTATATTTCATGAGGGAGTTTGGTGCATTAAACCCCTTTTTGGTGTTTCTTATTCTTTCTTTTTCATTTAAAATTTCATTCTTCAAAATGTAATTTTGTTTTGTTTAATTATTGTTAATTACTTTTTAATATTACTTCTTCATTTCATTCTATATATTATAATACATTTTCAATAATATGTTTTCTATAGAAACATGTAATTTTTTTATAGCAATGTCATTGTTTTTAAGAATGTTGTCATTGCTATACTGTTTTTATAGCATTGATATTGTTACGACAGTTGTTCACATCAGTATTGACATTATCAGTATAACAATGTCGTTTTTATTGGAATGCCATTATGTCAAATAATTACAATATCAACGACAATGTTACGAACAATGACATTGTAATAATGGTGATATCAATGTTAATACTACAAAAATTGACATTTTGATATTGATAATGTCGATGTTGATGACAATATTGTGACAATGAACGTCATTGTCATTAAAATGACATCAAAATGACATTATAACAATGTATTTGAATGTCATTGTCATTAAAAATGACATTAAAATGACTTATAACAATGACAATGTCAATGACAACGTCATATAAAAATGTATAGAAATGTCACCGGGTTAAGAAAATGTCAAATGACAATGTCATTGTTAATGCTATAAAATGACATTGTAATTATGATGATGTCAATAGCTATTATGACAGTTAATTTTATAAATAAAAGTCACAATGTCAAAAAATGTTATAATGTCAACTAATCACGATGACAATGTCAATGACAATGTCATAAAAATGTTATAAGAATGTCAATGACAATGTCATAAGAATGTCAATCATTATGAAAATGAAATAGTTAAAACTAATGACATTTTTATTTTCAACACGTGCAACGTATGCAAGACAAAGCCAATTCACATTCATTACTTTATACTTTATGTTTATTTTCCCTTAATTGTTAAAATATGATATAAATGATACAAAAATAATGTAAATGGCTAAAGGAATAAAAAATAACAATGAAGAAGCAATTACTATAAAAATTAAACAAAATAAACTAAAGTTGAGATTTGGAAAAGGAAATTAGAAAAACATTTAAACCAAGCACAATTGCCCTCGAACGATTGGAATGATGTGGACACGGTCATCTACGAAAGGAAAAAAAGAAGAGACAAAGGCCGGCCATTAACGATGGAAGAAAAGAAGAGTAAATAGCCGCGACAGAAAAAAATAAGAAGAGGAGAAATAGTAGGAGATGAGGAGGTAGAGAAGAAGAGATCCGTAAGATTTTCGTCTGCGTGGATCTCTTTCCTCACTGTCTATCGTCTCTGTAGTGTCGGCTCAGACCCGTTGCCGCCGCTACAATCACTGCCGGCGCCGCGCGGCCGCACCGCCTCATCTCGTTAAGTTTCCGCGAGCTGCCTCTGTTGTCCCGTAAATTGCTCCCCCAATCCCCTGTCCTATGGCTATGTTCCGTGTTCGCGAACTGGAAAAGGCAGAGGTGATATTATAATAGGGGTAACCGGTAAATTGGAAAGACACGGAAAAATAAGTCTTATTTAGGAGTTAAAAAACTTGGACTCCATATTGAGTATATTTTGGTCCTATTTAGCACCATTTCTCATGGAGTCATAGGAATATGCAAAAACCGAGGTGGGCATGTCCAAATTTTATGAGGATGCTTGCTCTTTCGAAGAACCCCTCAAACGATTTCACCCAATTGTCTCTCTGCTCAAAGATCCCCTCAAATTATTTCAAAGAATCTGCGCCTACCAATTGTGTGTCTGTTCAAGTTGCTAGAACCTGTTCTTAGGCATTGAGGAATTTGCAATCACAACACCTAGGCATTAGGCAAAGTGCAGAGGCGAGAAATATATCGATACATTGTTTTATATATGGTGCTGATCGAAAATGAATCTTACATAAAATTATTAACTGATTTGCACATCTCCCTCCTTTTAGGCTTTTAGCAAACAAAATCCAAATCAACTACACCAAGCAACCAAGATTGTCATAGCGAAGGAAGAGTTACTGGAGGCGGCCATCAGCGATATACGTAGTATGTCTGTGTGTGTATACATGAAGATGGCCTGAAGCTTTGAGAATGGTGAAGGAAAGAGAAACAGAGGTTGTTTGCGAAAATGGATGAAGGACAATTTAGACTTTAGCCTTAATCCTTACTCCATTATAACCATCCTCAAAGTTGTTGTTATCTACAAAAATACCAAGAAGCACTTAGAACTTAGAAGCACCTAGGGGTGGGACTTTGGAATCAAGAAACAGAGAACCGTTGGAACCGAACCGTTAAAATCAGGTTTGGTTCGGTTCCTACACATGAGTTATAAATTGTTAACAGTTCGGATTCTATTCTTTGTTAACGGTTCAGTTCCTGGTTCCTACAAAAAATATGTCGACGGAACCGTTAAGGAACCGCTATTAAAAAAATAAAAAAATTGAAAGTATAACTAGTAATAATAATAATGATAATAGTAATAATAGTAGTAGTAATAATAATAATAACAATAATAGTAATAACAACAACAACAACAACAACAACAACAACAACAACAACAATAACAACAATAATAACAATAACAACAATAATAACAATAATAACAATAATAACAATAATAACAATAATAACAATAATAACAATAATAACAATAATAACAATAATAACAATAATAACAATAATAACAATAATAACAATAATAACAATAATAACAATAATAACAATAATAACAACAATAACAACAATAACAACAATAATAATAATAATAATAATAATAATAATAATAATAATAATAATAATAATAATAATAATAATAATAATAATAATAATAATAATAATAATAATAATAATAATAATAATAATAATAATAATAATAATAATAATAATAATAATAATAATAATAATAATAATAATAATAATAATAATAATAATAATAATAATAATAATAATAATAATAATAATAATAATAATAATAATAATAATAATAATAATAATAATAATAATAATAATAATAATAATAATAATAATAATAATAATAATAGAAATAATAGAAATAACAATAATAGTAGTAACATTAAAAATAACTATTTGCAAAAAAAACATCAACAATAGCTATAATATAGAATAATAATAGTAGTAGTAATAATAATATAATCGATGATATTTTTAGTCAAAGAACAATTCAAATTTAATTTATGGAAACAGATGAGGATGAATACATTAACCTCATTTTGTTGCAAATCATATTTAGTTCCATAACTAAAATTTCATAATTATAAAAGTAACCCTAATAAATTTGTGTTGGTTCGATATATTTTTTCTTTATAATATTCAAGATGATTGTGTATGTGAGATTTAGTATAAATAATGCCCCTAGAATTTGAAATGTCATAATGTTTATATTTGTACTTGCGTATTCAATATGTTTTTAACACTTTGAAGAACTTGAAGTAGACCTTTTATTCTACTATGATTACCCAACTTTTATTGACAACGATTTTCATATTTTATTTACAAACAAAATTAAAAACTTCTTTCATTCTATTAAGTGTTGGTAAATTAAGCTTGGACTTGATATTTGAAGTCATAAGAGCTTCAAAAAGTACTTATTGCTTGTGTTTTGAATTTCCGACGTTTTTGCGGTGTAGAAAGTAAGTTGCATGTGTTAGTTTTTGTATGAAAAAAATTATGTTTAGGAACCGATAAAAGTAAGAACTGAACCGTTTACTATTGGTTCGATTCCATAACGGTTCTTGAATTTTTAGATAGGAACCGAACCGGTTTGATTAGTTCAATTTTTTGTAACGGTTCCACTAATTTCATTTAGGAACCGAACCGGTCCCAACCTTAGTTCAAGCACCCATATACCAAGTTCCAGCTTTTAGATTTTAAGTTCTTAATTTGAACAGGAGTAGGTGTTTGAAA